TGATACGTACATCGTGAAACATTAATTTAATATATAAAAGCAAATACACTGCATTGAACTTACAAAGATTTCAACTTATTGCAGACTGCATGATTTTCATTCCCCATAGTCTTAAATAGTTTTATGAATGGAACAGATATATAAAGAAAATAACATTTATAATGAATCAAAGTTGTTGGCCCCTGGCACTTAGCTATAAGCAATCCGGAACACCTCAGGACTTTCACAGAAAAACAGTGTTTTTCTGTGAAAGGCCCAAGGTGTTCCGGATGAGCTATAAGCATGCTGTACAGTATTATAGATTTAAATTTTCACACAATCAAAGTAAGAGATACATAAATATTTCAAGTTAAACAGTACATCACAGAAGATATATCACAGGTATGCTTTATATCGAGCAATATGAGGTAGAAATGGCTACACAGTATGTCACAGAATTTAGCCACATTGAAATTACTATGCTAACAGAAGGTATTCTCATTTTCAAAATAAAAAAAAAAATTCAAACTATGAAGTCAAGAGGACAAAAAAAATCAAGCACCTTTCCAAAAACAATGACGTGTCACTTCTAAACTTCTAATTATAAAAGAAACAATGAAATTAAAAAAAAAACAAAAAAAAAAACCCAATAAAATTAAGGATTTATAAAAAACATTGGTGCAAGCGATAAGCAAAAACAGAGTAGTCCTATTGGCTATAGTGCTTGTAATGTTCATGTTTTTTTATGCTTCAAGTTATATATCTATGTTTATATTTTAATGTACAGTGCTTTAGAGTTATTTTATATTATATTTAGCACTTTATATTGTACATATGAATAAATAATAATAAATAGTAAAATTATGCAGATGTATATATTGTACAGAAATGGGAAAATGTCACTTAACAGAAAATAAATTTTCACAATTCTCATAACAATATATTTGGTTTATTACCATAACAATATAGCTATATTAGTATGTATATTAAAACATGAGTATTTGTTTAAATGATATGTTGTTTGAGAGCACATTGCTTAATCCTTGTATTTCACTCTTTATACATTGTAAAATAATAATCGCTATAATGCTGAATCGTAGTGGGCTTTGTCTTCATAGATAATTAGCCATTGTAGTGACGAACATACACAACTGTCAGCTCAGGTTTAGCGGCAGACATCACAATAGTGTAAGTAGTTTTTCTGGAAAGAAAAAAAATATATTATAGTAACACTGATTCTTTGTTCAATCCTTGGTACATGTAAAGTGTATTTTCTACAGATGACGGCTGACAAGCAATTACTTGTTGTTAGTATAATCCTTGGTACATGTCTACTTACTTGTTGAGCACAGGAGGAAGTGACATCACGGACATCAGCGTTTCCACGGTTATATTTTTGGGTCCTATCTTATTCATCAGATTAACAGCTGGGTCTCTGTTAAAGAAGATTAAAGAATTAGTAAAATAATGCAAAACAATATGCCTGCATAAGGTCATAGTTAATCATTTAGTTTTTTTAACTCCATAAAACAGAGAGTTTTTACTGTTCATGAATGTACAAGTAATGAATTTAAGTTGGTATGACCTACCTTCTATTATCACTGCTTGGAGGGGGAACCCAATGGTCATAGTTAGTTTCCACTTCAAACCATCTACAACAAACAAAAGAGAACAAATTGGTTGACCACTTCCTTTTCCATTACATACAAAGAGATAGAAAACAAGGACTACTAAAACAATTAAGGAGTAACAGGACCTTTAGCTGAAAAAATTCCTGCCAATGAATTTTTTTTGTATTTTTTATATTACTAATTTAATATGTACTTTTTAAAACATTTTAAAACGGTCTTGTCATGGGACTTCTTGACTTATTCATAAGATATCGCCCCACAAATACCACCCTGTTTAGAGTTTGTATGGAGTTTAGATACATATATGTACTTCATGTTTACGGGCCCATAAGGGAGTCCATAATGCGAATTTTTACGCACAAACGATGAATATGAAAGATAACACTATATACTCAAATATTTCATAATATTCATACTGTTTAACTTATCTGAAAGCAATTGTTTTTATTTTATATAGTATTTGGATGGGATAATTTCTGCATTTTTCAAGGCAGCTTCAACGACAAAAACCTCATTTGGAAAAAATTCTGTCAATAAATATTTCTAAATTTACGATTGAATGTCAGTCCTTCATCGTAATTATTCACTGCATAAATATCACAGGGTGAAGCTAACCTCAATATCGCACAGGACATCGTTGAATTAGACGTAAGCATGGAAAAAAACGCTTCACGATTGTATTTTCCGAGTGCGGGAAATCAATTGTGACGTCACACGAAAAATATAAACATTCAAAATTATCTAATTAGAGAGAATCTCTGCAACTAAACACGAAAAAATATTAATTTAAAAAAATCTGCTTCAGAAATTTATCACGATACATTGACTGTGACCTGTTTATTATGAAATAAAACTGATCATGACGGGTGTGTGTACTTGATCTCCCTGCACTGAGAATTCAAAGACTACGTCTATGACGTCACTGACGTCAGACTGCAGGGTAAAGAGAAACAAATGTGTGGACTGGGCAACTTCACATAGTCTAAATGATGGCAAGGTCTTAAAAATTTTTATCAATAATAACTTCTAAAATTAAATGTTAATTTTAGAATTTAGAATAAAATTACACAAGAACTGTTGATTTTAACAACGTTTAACGTGTATATCATCACCAATTATGACGTGATATGTCTTTTAAGTCATGTGACATGTGTCCTGTCTCCCCTTAAGGCCATCAATGGTTGACAGTATTTTCCCTAACCTTCCATTTTCGGGGTCCAGTTTCCACAGATCTACAGGACCAATCCTCCCTTTGGTGATGATCATACCCTCTCCCTTCTGGACTCCTCCAATGATAATGTACCCCGAGGCCTCGGTGGTAGTGTAGGCCATTTTGTCTACAGCGTCCTTAAAGTTAGTACACTCTGCCACAGTCTACAGTGAATACAAAGATTCAGAACTTTGCAGTAATACTAGGGTATGCAGTTCATTCTCTATAGAATTGTTGAAAATAAAAGTTCTGTTCACATTTCTTTAAACCTTTGAGAAAAAATAATTATAGATTTACAAAATAAATACATGTATACAAATCTGAACTTACATCTCGCATTAAGAAGCTGATGGGCATGGCTTTCCTATCTAGTAAAGCAATGATAAAATTCTCCCACCAAGCTCCCTGGTCTGAAAAAAGTCCATATAAATAGATACCTGCATTTAGCAAGAAGCCCAATGGTTACAACACTCACCTGAGTCACTCTGGCCCTGCTGTTCTTCACAAAGAACAAAATTTGAAAGATCTAAATCTACACCAGGTCAGGTAGTTCCATCTTTTCTGGGTCAGTGGTTCTTAAGAAGGTTTTTTTTTTAAATGCCATTAAATTTTAAGTCATTCTTAATTATCTCCTCTTACAAGACATTGTACAAAATAATTTGAATCCCATTTCTGCAAGGATGCTTTGTGCCAAGTTTGGTTAAAATTATAAAAGGTACAAAATCAACAAAAGTTACAATGATGACAACAATGACAGACAACAGACAAATTTTGATCAGAAAAGATCACATGATCCTTTTGATCAGGTGAGCTAAAAATAAATGTCACCTCAGTAAAGATTCATTAGCTCTTGTCTGAAACACATCACCAACAGTTAAATATGTTTGTCATAATGTTAACTGGGATTACCTCTCTCATCCAGTGTCATGGTAAAAGCTTTAGGTCGCATTCCCGTGATTAGCCCTACATACCCAGCATAGGTCACACCACTGTATACTGTCTGTGCATAGAGAGGAATAAAGGTCATTTATTGTACACATAAGAACAATTCCTCAAAATAACTTGTAATTATTTTCTATACCAGTAATTTTTTCCTTTTACCAATCATAAAATCAAGCAGTTTCACCAAATCATGCTTATGAAAAAAAAAATTAATAATTTATGAAATGTAATAATGTAAGAGATTGTATTAGACAGATGTATTTTGACCTGATTATTTTTTATGAAGTCCACTTGTATTGTGATATTTCGCAGCATGTCAACAAAGCTGTAGTCAAGGTTACGAGAGTGCCAAATCTGTCCACTTGCATCTTGGGTAACAATGCTTGTGCAAAACCTAGACACAAAATTTGAAATTATTCATCTTCATAATGAACCATTCTTCATCATTCAGTGGTACAGATTCAAACCTTGCAATGTCAAAATAAATCTTGCATTTTTAAGATATTGATGTTTCAGATACATGCATAAACATTATCATGCTTTAGTAATGTTCAATATATTAATAATTTGTTAACTGAAATGCAAATTTCTACTAAAAATACGAACAATATTCAAAACTTTCTACAAGATAAACATCAAAATACTTACGCTGTGACATCATAAAGAATGTTCATTCCCACAATGCCACCAAGGTCCATATTGAGAGCCTTTGCTATACCTAGTATGAAAAAAATTAAAAGTCAAAAACTGTTAGTATCACATCATGGTCAACTGAGGACATGACATTTTTAAAATATTCAATTTATTCACTGACAGCACCATCATTCATTTATAAGTAAAGGAAGAGGTCCATGGGCCAAACGCTTGCCTGATCGAGTCATATATGACCAGAATCAGAAAAATTATTTTAGCCCTTGTCTTGGGGTGAGATAAATATGTTATAATTTATAATATTTAGTCTTTGTGAATGTTGTACCTCTCATTTCTCCTGCATAAGGCTTTGGGAGATAGTTATCAATGTCTGCTGCCACAGCTTCTATTGCCTTCACTGTCAAATTGGCAAATGGGAACTTTCCCAGGAATGACCTGAAAACAATATCAACTGCCAGTATAAATTAAGAAATGCGGAAAAGTGAGATTAAATTGAGATTTTTTAATGCCCCAGTAATCAAAGATTGAGGGTGTATGTAGTTTTTGCCCCACCCATCCGTCCGTCTGTTTGACCTCAAAACTGTTAACCTTGCCCATAACTTTTAAGTGGATGGGGCTATGGCTTTCATATTTTACTTAAGTAATTAAAAAATATTGTTTGGAAGGTAGGGAATCCTGAAAAATATATAAATCATCAACTCAAAAATCAACGAATTTTTTTAACCACAAAAAAAAAAAAAAAAAAAAACCACCCGCCCGGCGGGGGGGGGGAGGGTGTTGCAGTCTTTATATAGATCCGTTCAGAATATAGATAACTTTATTGCAAATAGCTATTTAATTTGCAAATGCAATGCTTGTTATACACTATACACTACAGAGATCCATGGAGATGATAAAGTTTCCTTGTTTGTGACTTACATAAAGACGTTATACACATCTGGCACTATTTCTTTGTGATCCTTGGAGACTTTAATCCATCTCTCCTCTTCTGGTAGGTCTAAATTAATTGTATATTTTGGCGGGGTTGTCATATTATCTGGATAGCAACTGACATGATAAAATGTAATGATGAGACTGAGACCAACAAGAAACGTAGCGGTAGAAGCCATTTTCATATCATGTGATTCCTCTTAAGGTCATGTGACGTAGAACAGAACTCTCCTGAAAGGAGGCGAAAAAGTGATTATATTTCAACATGAATCCAAAGGGAAACACGAGGGCAAAATATTATGGCACAAATAAGCCTCAAAAAGACAAATTTAAGGGACACAAAGGAAAAATAAGAAAGCAACAACTGTACAAATCAAAACCGAAGAATTTAGATCTAATTAACTCTGAAATAACAGGATTACAAAGTCGATATCAAAATGTAAGTTGACTTGAACATTACGGATTGTAACTTTCCATATTTTATAAGTTCTTTTAACTGGATACGAGAGTCATTGTCACTTATAACTTCTTTATTAAAATACATTTAATTTCAGATACAAGCTAAAGACATAAAAAAGTTTGCAGACTTCCCATTATCAAAGAAAACATTGGACGGTATGTAGGCATGATGTTTAAAAATTCCCAGAAATAGAAAAAATTTAAATACTCATGAAAGTCGTCTATTATCAATCTTAAGCAATTTGGTTGAACTCCTAAGTGGAGTTACCAGAAAAAGAGAACCAAATCCCACGTTTTCATTCTTGTTATGAGTGATATTTTTGCTGATTTTGTTAATAGGATTGCTGAAAGCCAAATACACCACTCCAACAGAAATTCAGAGAGAATCCATAGGTTTGGCTCTGCAGGGAAATGACATTCTAGGAGCAGCAAAGACAGGCTCAGGGAAAACTCTGGCTTTCCTTATCCCTGTAAGACATCAGCACTGTAACAGTCTACCATTATTGCAATAATAGTTCATTATTTATCCAGTTCTTTGAGGAAAAAGACTTTGTATACATTGAAAAATACATGGACATTCTTTTAAAAAAAGTATTTATATGATATGTAAGTGTATGATCCTCTTATGAAAGCAGAGTAAATTTTAAGCCCCCGTTTTAATCAGATGGGTGTATATGGGCATCATACATAATCTTTGCAGGTTTTGGAGTGTTTATTCCGTCAGAAATGGAGTTCTATAGATGGACTGGGTGCCCTAATTATCTCCCCTACACGAGAACTAGCTTACCAGACATTTGAAGTTTTAAAGAGGATCGGAAAATTTCACGACTTTTCTGCAGGCCTAGTTATTGGTGGAAAGGTATGATTTTATATTCTCTCTACAGTTGATTTAAAAAAATTTAATTGCTGGCAAAAAACTTCAGAATTTTTTTAATGTTTACATATTTAATACCTCTTTTTGTCTTCAGTTACTGAAAGAGGAGACAGCTAGAATCAACCGGACCAACATAATCATCTGTACCCCCGGACGACTTCTACAACACATGGATGAAACCTTCAACTTTACTGCAGATTCACTTCAAGTTCTAGGTAAGATATATATTTCTTTAATTCAATGTTCCATCAAATAGCTTATCAGATATATGAATAACAACACTCACTTCGTTGTTTTTTTTTTTTTTTTTGCAGTGTTGGATGAGGCAGACAGGATTTTAGATCTTGGATTCAGTAGAGACATGAATGCCATCATAGAAAACCTTCCCTCAGAGAGACAGACGTTACTCTTCTCTGCCACACAAACAAAGTAAGAACTTACGATCTCCAGAAATATGTTCCAAGTTAATTTAGTCAATATAAGGCCTAACCTAACTCTTTCTAAAAACTTGATATAACTTTGACTTGATTTAACATTTTTTTTTAAATATTGAGTAACATACCTTATAATTGATATTTTTGCTGAGGACTGGATTCAGCTATTTTTTTTATTTTGATAAATCTTTAGCTTAGTGTCAGATTTATCCCCCTTGTTGCTGCTAAATCCTAGGCAAATTGCAGTCCACAGAAATACAGATTGCACATATGATGTCTTTAATAATTTTTCACAATTAATTGTTCTTATAGATCAGTGAAAGACCTGGCTCGTTTGAGTCTGAAGAACCCAATGTTTGTTTCTGCTCATGAGCATTCTACATACAGCACACCCTCCCAGCTAGAGCAGGTAGAGCCCCCCAAAAATGCAATCTGTTAAAAAAAAATTATCTTGAAAAGAAAAAAAAAAAATTTGTACAATGCTTTGTGTCAATATGTTTTGAATTTTTCACCCAATTTCTGAAGTTGTGATAACAATTTAAATTTTTTTCATCATTTTGTTATTGATGATCAATGACCAGTAGAAATTTTATATTTGTAAAATTAAATTGTTTTTGATCAATAGAAGGTTTGTTTTTGTAGAATTACGTTGTTTGTGAACTTCATGACAAAATCAGCATGCTGTGGTCTTTTGTGAAGAATCATCTTAAGTCCAAAGTCCTTGTCTTTCTGGCCAGTTGTAAGCAGGTAAACATACTGACATTATCATCTCTTGTATTACTGTAAACGTATTACATTTGGCGGCGTATTCTTTTTAGCGCTTTTGGCAGAAAGATACTTCCGCTTATTCAAGTACATCGCTAAATGTCTTAAACAATGATACTTGGTTAAGAAAATCAAGAAATGCGCTAAACCAAATCTATGCAAACTTGTTTAAAATTCACTTTCCGCTAAATATCGTACATGCTAAATATAGTACATTTACAGTAATACATTAGATAAGATCATCACGTTCATTTTATTTCCACATTTTGCAATGAACATTTTTGCCAGGTAAAAAAATAGTAAATAATTTCTTTGTTGAAATGAAAGAAAGTACACCTCTATTTGCGACTTTGTTTTCAGAACCAGTGAATTGAATAAAAAGTTGTTTATATTTCCATCTATTCTAAATACAAACTGAATAGGACTTTTTCACTCTGGACTTTTTAAAAATGACTATTGATATAAATTTACATTTCAGGTAAAGTTTATATATGAAATCTTCAGAAGATTAAGACCTGGTGTGACAGTCCTAGCTTTACATGGTGCAATGAATCAACTAAAGCGTGTCGACATGTACAACCAGTTTTGTCGTAAACAGAATGCCGTCTTGTTTGCTACTGATATTGCAGCAAGAGGATTAGGTAAGAGTTATCCCCCTGTAAGGAAAGCCTCAACATGAACTGTTAGATATTTGTCAAAAAATTATTTAATAATAAAGGGGAAAAACTTCTGTTTGAAACTATGTTCTATAAACATGTACTTCCCAATCTCTAAAGGAGAAAAAAAATAGTGAAAATTTTAATCCTCACTTGTTTGAATTCATCCCAGTTGTTACATTATACTTTTGCCCCTCATAATTTTAAGGTGTAGTTTGATAACTTTAATGGACTATTTACAATCACTGAATTTAGATATTCCTGAGGTGAATTGGGTGATACAGTTGGATTGTCCAGAGAATGCGAACACGTACATCCACAGGGTGGGGCGGACGGCCCGCTATCACAAAGACGGTGAAGCCCTACTGGTCCTCCTACCCTCCGAGGAGGAGGGCATGATTGCGCAGCTTGAGGAGAAGAAAATCCCCATCAATAAAATTAGGTCAGGATTTCACTAGATACTGGAATATTGGTCAGAAATTGCAGAGCTTATGTCTTTTATGTCAGTTATGTCTTTCACAAAAATCTTGTTAAAAAGAGTTTGCTTCGATGCAAGTGACTGTCATTTCAGACTCATCAAAATGAAGTAGTGTAAGAATCTGTGAAATTTATAGAAGGAAATTTATTTGGTTTAAACCACCTTTTTATGAAGCAAAAAATATTCCAATAATTGTGGAAATTGCTACATAATTGAATTAATTTATAGAATAAATCCCAAAAAGCTGTGGAGCATTCAGACAAAACTGGAGTCACTTTTAGCATCTGATCCTGCCTTGAAAGAGACAGCACAGAGGGTAAGTGTATCTTCAGTGGCAACTGTAAATCCAATTTGATGTTATTAGGAGTTACATAAATTTATTTATGCAGTGCACGATTTCTCTATGTAAACAACAATATCGTGCAGCTCCCAAACACATTTCTACATGAAACTGAATGATTTTTGAAATGTACTAAATGGGTATTGATTAAACCATGATAAAGCTGATCTGTGCGTGGTTAAGAGAAGATTTACAATTTGTCTATACATGTATATTCTTTTATTTTTTAGGCATTTCTTGGTTACTTGAGGTCTGTGTTCCTAATGAGCAACAAAAAGGTTTTTGATGTTCACAAACTAGACACAGAGAAATTTTCAAGGTATGAAAAGCTAGAATTAGGGAATAACTATCTTCTAATTTGGTACATGTATTTTCGACCGTTAATGCTGATTTAATGGTCGCAAACTGAGTTTTATCGGTGACGCATAAGCGGAGCCAGTAAAACGGATGTTTGCAACTGTTAAATCAGCATTAACGGTCTACCAAATTATGTTATTCTTTAATTTTTATGCATTTTGTTTGTTGTTTATGTCTTATTTTGTTGAGTTTAGTTATATAAAATACGTCATAGAGCATTGTGTTTTTGCAACGATCTATTATGACGTTGCAATGAAAATCTTTCACTCTCGTTAATGCTCGTTTTACTGCCTCAAACAAAGCACATTAGCCAATCAAAACGTGTTTTACAAACCAATCACATTAGAATGTAATTTTATAAGAATAAAAAATCCTAAAATGCTACTTAATTGCAGTAGGTAATATTGGAAGACTAATATTATTAAATGAAAAAAGGACAAGTGTTGAGTAATAGAATAACTTTTTCATTCTTAACTCCTCAGCTCTTTGGGTTTAGCAATTCCACCAAGAATACGATTTTTGAAGCGTGAGGAAAAACGTCAAGCTGAAAAAGAGGCCCAGAAAAAAGACAGTCTTGCAAAATTAAAACGGACCGCTGAGGAGGAGGAAGATGAGGAGGACATCTCAGGAAGTGAGGAAGAATCAGAGGAAAGTATATCTGACTTTGACACAGACATGAAAATTACGGAAAAAAAACGTGCTGAAGTCAAACATTCAGATGAATATGATTCTTCAGAATCTGAAAGTGAAAGTAGAGGTGTGAGGACTAGTAAAAAGGAAGAGAGTTTGAATTTTGATTTAGATGATGACAATAGTGATTTATTCACTGTGAAAAGGAGAGTGCTACCAGATACTGATTCAGAGGATGAAAAAAGAGATAAATCAGTGAAGAAAGAAAAAGATAAAAAGCCACTGTCAAAATTTGCTCTAGCTAAAAAATTACAGAAGAAGAATGTAAAAGTGAATACAAAAGTGACATTTGATGAAGAGGGAGAGGTAATATACTTACATTTATAGAACTTTTTAAAACTTAAATGACAGGACATTTTTCCATGAGCTGATCAAAGAAATAATTATACTCCACCACACTTACTTAACAACCTTGATGTTTAAGATTTAAAGTTTAAAATTTTTTTTTCAAAGTTTTTTTTTTATTGTTTTATGGAGATCTCAAACATTTTCCAAAGGTTATTGATAAAATTTTTCAAGAAAGTATTTCTTTAAGAATTTGGAAAGAAAGTTTTGAATCCTGCTAGTATATATAATTTTTAAACAAAGATCTTGTATAGTTGAAAGTATAACTTTTGAATGCTGTAGACTGTGACAGATGTGTTGAAGAAATCCACAGTGGAGGATGAAGAGGAAGAAGATGAAGGAGGGATAGACATAGCAGCAGCCAGGCAGAGGATGATAGAGGAAGACAAGATAGATAAACAGATCTATACGGAGCGGATCAAACAGAAACACAGGGTAAGATAAACAGATGATAGGGAGTGGATCAAACAAAAACACAGGGTAAGATAAACAGATCTATAGGGAGTGATCAAACAAAAACACAGGACCATAAGATAAACAGATCTATAGGGAGCGGATCAAACGGAAACACAGGATAAGGTAAATAGATCTACAGGGAGCGGATCAAACAAAAACACAGGGTAAGATAAATAGATTTACAGGGAGCGGATCAAACAGAAACACAGGGTAAGGTAAATAGATATACAGGGAGCGGATCAAACAAAAACACAGGGTAAGATAAACAGATCTACAGGGAGCGGATCAAACAAAAACACAGGGTAAGATAAATAGATCTACAGGGAGCGGATCAAACAAAAACACAGGGTAAGATAAATAGATCTACAGGGAGCGGATCAAACAAAAACACAGGGTAAGATAAACAGATCTATATGGAGGGTATCAAACAGAAACACAGGGTAAGATAAATAGATCTATAGGATGGGGATCAAACAAAAACACAGGATAAGATTAGAATTTAGGTTCATTACAAAAACACAGGGTAAAAAACAATATCAGACATTACAGAAACACATAATTTTTAAGGAGTGGAGAACAGAAACACAGGGTAAGAGGAAAGCAAGAGCGGAAGACAAAAACACAGGACCATAAGATAAACATTAAAGAACAGAAACACAGGGTTCATACTACAGGGAGCTGTTAGAAATAAAATGAGAACAGGAAAACACAGGGTAATTCCTAAACAGATTTTGCTGGAGGGAATTAAACACAGGGTAAGAGATCTATAGGGAGCGGATCATGCAAAAACACAGGGTAAGATTATCGTTAAGGTTTATTCCTTAAAAAAAAAATTAATATCAGACATTACGGACATTATTTCTATTTGTTCAGGAGGAGAGATTGCCAGGTGTCGAGAAGAAAAAGCTGTTTTTTTGGAAGCATAATTCTGAACAATTCATTACATACTCAGAACATACCTTAAGCCATCATCATTCTGTTTGAATTAAATTTGAGGGACTAAAAACGATTTTTTCTACAGAATTCATGGGCAATTCTCACTTCATTTACCTGGTAATTGGTTATTGAACTTTTGTAAATGTTTGTTGAATCACTGTAGTTAGCTAGAAGAAATAAAAACTTCTTAACAATCTACTGTATGTAAACATAAAATGTTTCTATTACAGGATGAGGATGAGATGGTTGTCCAGTTAGGAGGGTCTGATGAGGAGGAGGGGGAGGAAGATGACCCCCTCAGTTACATCCCCACCCCCGACAATTCTGACCAATCAGGAGAGGAGAGCGAGGGAGAAGTGTAAGTAATAAAAACAAACATGTTTAACTCGGAGCACCAATCTTGGCTAGCCATGAGTTTCTGCTTCACCATTCCTCTCTTTGACTCTTGAGAAGAGCAGTGAATCAGAAGGTCTTGGCTAACCAAGATGGGAGACCATTGGACATGGATTTATATAATTCTGTATGTACATGTAAATCAAGGCTACCTCCACGGTCTCAGAAAAAATTTTGGTAATTACATTTTCTGATTTAAGCAATGAAATAATACAAAAATAATACAAACATTTCTGTTTCAAAAATCTTGTCAAGAGAGAATCATTTATCATGGGTTTCTAAAATTTCAGACCATCAAAGAAGAGAAGAATGGTGGTGAATAGTGATGAGAGCAGTGATGAAGAGGAAGACAATGACAGCGAAGAAGAAGAAGATGATATGGGGGATAGTGATGATGAAAGTGAAGAAAGTAATGAGGAAAGTGAAGAGGAAAATGAAGATGAAATTGGAGGTGAAAATGAAGAAGACATTGACACTGGACTGAGTCTGAATGATGATGAGGCTATTGCCCTCAAACTGTTACAAAGCTGATATTAAATAAATGAAAAAATAAATCAGATTTTAAACTTTATTTTTGTTTTTATATCTTGGTAAAATATTTAATATCTTACTCAGTGAGTTATGTTCAGGTTTGGCACCAGCATTACCTAAAGGTCATAGAGATAGAACCTACTTTAGGAACATTGATTTCTTAACTAATCTGGAAGGCAGGCCTTAGCTCAGAAATAGGGAATCATGATACCTGACATTTTATTCAAGACTGAATCATGATTGAAGTACATGTACCTCTACCAAAAAATTTCAAAATTGTTCTATAATACATTAAGGGTAGTTTATATACGAGATTCATAAATTTTGTTTATGGCTAATTGGCTATAGTATTTATTACTTTTAAAATAATATATAAAAGGAAACTATCAAAATGTATAACAGTTCAGCTTGCTGCAAAATATCAAAGCATTCATACTGTAAATGAACAAATTTATATTTGTTCAATAGCTCTTGACAACCTCTTCGATTCATGGTTTCCTCTGAATTTTAAATAATAGTGTACAGGAAGTCTTGTACCAATGACATATCAAATACCATTGAAACATTCGGAGTTAACTTTTTTGGAATTTGTTTATTGGATATTTATGATTGTCTTAAAAATGCAAATGAATACAAATGATTGTCAAATAAGTCAACTTGATAATGAGAAACAATTAAACTTTGTAAACAAACAGTCATGCAAGTAAAATGAAGGTGTATAATAGGAATGTGGCTCCAAACAGGAAGCACCAAACTCGATCAAGGACCAGAGCCACCTGCTGCCACTCGTTCTGTACTTCCTGTCGCGCTTGCGCAGCTTTAGTACAAATGATCATAGTCTGCACATGACGTAATATTTCTTCCACGTCTTTCTCCAGTTTATTTTGGTTACCGGAAGTCTCAGATTTAACAATAGGTTCCACAGAAGGGATATCCAGGGCCTTCATTGTGAGAGTGTCCACCTCATTTAAAGGAAAATAACTATCGTCACCAAGACAAACTAAGCGCCTAAGTCCCCGTAAAAAGCACTGAAAACCAAAAGGTGGATAAAATAGATACTAGTATGGTAATTAATGAAACAAGAAAATCAGTCATCAAAGCTTTGATTTCAGTTGAAAATAATATACCAAATAATATTGAATTTATTCTTTGTATTTTATTTTTATTTACTTTAATGGTGTTCTGTTGGCAATGCTAGTTTTAAAATGATTTTTAACTGTCTTGGAACCTGTTTTTTAGTTAATTATACACTATAACAATGTTTTTAAAATGCAAAGAAGTCACCAAACGCAGGCAAATCGTTTAGAACCCTTGATTTGTTTTCTTACTTGTCGCATTAAATCTGGTACCCGTCGTCCCCTAGGACCACGTGACTGTGTAGTAATCACCCAAATCGAGGCTAACATAGATAAGGTTATCCACACTAAGGTTAGGCTGTAATACGTGGCTACAAGAGAAAGAAATGTTAATAAACACAACTCGCTCTGATTCATCAGTAGAGGTACCCCTCCATTTGTAAAAGTTGTCAAATAACCGTTTTAACCGGTTTATCTGATATTGCATCTTTGCATTATCAATAAGGCATCTTCTGAAGCCTTCAAGAATTCCCCTAGATCATGACCAAAGCTCTGCGGGAGCTGATAGGGTAAGAAATAACAATAAACACATTTATTTTTGCACTAAGTAATATGCTGTGTAGAAAGAAATATAATAGTCTTCTTCTTTTATCTACACGGATACCAAAAAGATAACCGAAGATATTATTTCCCTCAATTCTGTATGATATATGGTATCGCATTTATTGTTGTTCCAGCATTGCCGCTTCTGTCTTGTTTAAGAGTACAATCACTGTCAAATCTGTCATTTTTAGTCTTAGAACGGATATTGAGAACGTCGATTCGCCGCATGTAATCAACAGAAAAAATGATTTATATGAACAGATTAACAACAGAATCAGGACAGATGTAAAACTTTACACATTATTTTTTATCCTTCATTAGAAATGGTTTCTAAACTCGACACCACAATATCGATTACTTTCTTTGTCATCGTTTAACTGTGAAATCAGAATGTCTTTGACTTTCTTAACTTAGTGTAATGAGAAAGAACTGGAATGTCATTCTACCTCTTGTTTCTGCACAAATTACAACGATTGTCAGATAAATCAAGACTAGCATTGAAAAAAACCCCAAGAAATCACGTACAAGAACGGGAGAAAACACGACCAGAGAAAGATTCGAACACGGTCGTGTCCAGTGGCCTCTACAGATACAAACTTAGCTATCTAGCTACCAGCGATCAAACCTGCCTGATTACAACAAAGAAATGGAATATAAAGTTACAAACCTAGCGTGGGTAGAGTGGGATGAGCCTCGGGGAGGAAATCCTGTAGCAGTACAAGCAAGAGGAGGATCCCCAACATCAGTATAGCTCCTGAAAATATAATGTGTTTGTTTTCATAAAAAATGCAGACAATGACAAATTGTGAGGAAAATAAAAAGTGTCAAAATTTCAAATACACATGTACATGTATAGCATCGACAGACATATTGCAGAGTTCTTCCAACGTATAACCCTATACTCATCATTAAAACTTTTAATTAATTTTACGATGTACATACGACTTAACGATATCAAGTACTGATAAGGTACGAAAAAACATTGATATTGTAACACTATAGGTCGTATGAAGGACTTAATTATTTAATGACACGAGCTAAAAAGTAATGTCAATCGGTCAATTATGTATTAACAAAAGATACAAACCAAGTGTCATTCGTTCTTTGGAGTCTGGGGGCAACAGAAACTGGAATGGAACAAGAATTGCCAATAGAACAGCTGGTAGAATGAACACGTGACGATAATAGGTGGGGTTTCTCTGTAACCGGAAGGAGTATTCCATTTGAGGGAAACTGTTACTGGCGTACTCGAACCGTTTGTCTGTCCGTATTGACAAGGATTCCGTCAATTTCCACTCGGCATTAAACCTAAGGTCCTCTAGATCTAGCCCATTTACACCAGAGGCGAAGTGTGTGAGATTGATATTGGAATTATCATAGGTCCACGACCCAAATGTCAGTTTACATATTTGTTCATCAAATGGAAATCTGTTAAGATCCAAAGTACAGGGGGCCCGGAGCCGCATCTTTGGACTGTAGAATATGGCACCGGTATGAAAGACAATAGCGAGAGGTTCCTCTTTTTCTACAACAGTATCTGCACTAAATCAAAAAAGAAATCTGAATTTAGGCATATATCATTAGATGATTAGCATGGCCTCCTACAAAATGTATCCGAGTACCAGAGGTTTTGTTAAACATGAACGTGGAGTTTAAGGAATTGATTCTATTTCTTTCACGGTGAGTACTTTTTTAGTGTGGTTGTTATACCATGAACCAATTACTAGTATTCGAAAGAGAGAGATCGAATTGCTTAAAAATTAATTTATTTTAAAAATGTGAATTCAAGACGGACAAAAGGAAAGAAAAAAAATATAAATGCCAGTGTTTAATTAAGATACACTGTACTTATTCTCGTGTCAGCAAAATATGCCGAATACCAGCACCTGTTAATAAGAACTATATCCGGTTTCCAGATCGAGGTCGCTGGTAGATGGACAGTCATAATTCCACCGTATTTAGCAGGATTCCATGATAACCTATAGTCAGCCCAAAGATGTCGGAGAAACGCCCCGGACTCAAAAATCTGGCTCTTCTCATGCTAAAAAGGTAAAGCCAAGATGTTAACAAGAATAAATTGGTATACCGACTTTCACATTTTTTTTATTCTTGTAACATCAACTAAACATCTTTGATATATTTGAATGTCGAAGTGATGCCCACAGCAAGTGTTTTCCTCTTCTCATGTGGAAATTTTTAAATAATTCTGCTTCACAGAAATATAAAAACAGATCAGCTAATAAAGGAGCACAATAAGTGCTCATTGGAATTTCACTAATTTGAATTTTTGAGATCAACCACTGTTCTTATTTTCACATTTTACACGAAAAGATGTGAACAAAGTCAGCATGGTAAAGTATTGTCGTATTGGAATCAAACACCTCTTATATACCGGGTACCTTCATTCACAATAACATTTCAATTTATACATGCTACTACAATTCATTCTGAAAACGAATATTAAAATTCAACCGTTGTTAAAATTCAATCGTTGCTTTTCCAGTTTTCTGAAATATATAGAGAGGCATTAAGAAGTTTCTTCAAAACAAATACATTTGAAGTTAAATCTTCAATTTTGGGAATACTCCGACACTCCCTCCCCCACCCCTCACTCAAGGCCATCAGCAGCTTATCTGTACAAGTTAATTGTTATGTTTCTTATAATTCTTTAATTCCATTACAGTTACTAGTTTACTAATTTATTGAATAAGTGGAAATATTTACCAGTTCAGCAATCTCCGTCATAGCTAATCCCAGGGACACCACCACCACGGGGTTTGTAGAATTGGTGGGGCGGATCAAGCTATTGTAATTTTTCAAGATGTCTTTGATCAACATTTCCTCCTTGCTTACTTCCCCTGAATGAAGATGAAGAAATGTAGATTAAAAAGCTGATCAAATGAATGAAGCCTCGTGCAGAAATGTATTTAAATAGCAGCGCTATTGTCGAGGAGGGATCAATTTTACAGCCCTGCACTGAATATTAAATTTAAAGATAAATTTCGATTTATATTTCCCGCTGGTTTTAGTTTCAACCTTTTCAACTATTTCCTGATCATGACAAGGAGCACACGGCGGGTGTGGTGTGTCTCCATTTATGATGTTTCGGGGGTCCGTGTTTGCTCTGCTCTTATTTTGTATTGTTTTATAGACTTTGAGACTGAATACTGTTCGTTATCTCCATATCCTTCTTAGTGATGACTGTGAAGTAGTGGTATGTTTCTCTATATCGTGTAACATGCTTCTATTAAAATTTTAAAAAGTATAATGTATTTATTTATTGACTACATGATTTGTTTAATAACGTTTCGTTCTAGAATGTTTCATTAATTTATAAACGTCTTGGGGACGAGTCACAATTTTTTTTATACATGGCGTATTCGGTCGTAGCAATCGTGACATAGGTCATCTGTTTCAGATATACAGATTAAATAAACAATTAAAATATTTAAATCAAGTCTTATGGCAACCTTTCTGGCAGTGGGGAACAAAATACTAAAGCTTGAATAGGGTTATGGTTCAGATGCGATTTTGTGACAGGCACGTTGAAAATCACCCTGTCGATCAGTCAATCAACCATAAGAAAACCATTATGGGTGGGAACGAGTAGTTCTAAATCTAGTAAAACATGGCTGTATCTTGTGTACGAGAGATATAGCATTAAAAAATTCATCTTTGCCTTCTCAAATTGAGTTATTTCAAAGGGAAAAGGGAAATCTTTTGTCCAATAAGTACAATAGATTCACTGAATTTTGTAACGCTTATTTCTTAAGGTTCATTGATCGTTGTATAAGAAAGGTAACTCTCACTAGGTTAATGTCCTTGTTTAACAATTGTCAGGTAAAAAGGCAATCTATGTAAAATTTTGTCCTGCAAGGTATAATAAAACTTTGCACATTTTCCTTATAAATTAGGTTTGTTTTTGAAATTCTTTAGCAATAAATAAATTAATATATGAGTGAACGAAGGGTCGAAGAATTTCAGAGCAATCTTTCTATTAGAACTGAGTGGATGAAATACTAGTATACTTAGATTTAAATAATAAATGACTTTTATGAAGAGTTCTCTTGACTCTTGACCTCTTTGAAACGTTTTGTAAGCTAATTAGCTACCAATTTTATAACAAGCCTTTGAGTTTATATACTCGTACGTACTTATAGTATACATATCGGTGAGTTGGCTCAGGACTATATATTTAAGTGATTATAATACTTGATTCTACTGTATATTTCTTAATTGGTGCTCTGGGTGAGGTGTTAACTCTAGACTAATACAAACGATAAGATTTTTATTTTTTTTTTTATCTTAGTTTGCTGTCTTGTTTACACAAATTGGCTCCAGCTAGAACCATGTGAGGTGCATTACTTTCTAATTACACGTAACTCAAATTACAGTTTGTCACGGATGACTAAGAAATAGAAGTCCTTTCTATTTATCAATATGCCTCTAGTTTGGGTTGATTGAACTTTGAATTCATCAGCGTGTTTATTCAAACTTCTGTAACAGAATACACAGATTTCAACACAGCAAAGATATATACTTGCACTGAAGTTCTTTTGTTTAGGATGAAACCATTTCTTTGGGATTTTCGGGTCTGATTCTAACCTACAAGACTGTACACATCATTAAATGTTTATAAAATAAAGGATAGCCATTTAGTGCGGTGTTTACTTGGAATTCTTCTACTGAGGGATATCAAAGCAGCCTTTGTTTGAGTTTATCCCCTAAACTCTGATTAGAACTAGGTAACATTATAATGTTTACTCTGCAATTGTTTATAGACTGGAACGGTGTTTTCACGAGTATTTGATTATTAGAGTCGATCTCAATCTTAATACAAACAAATAACATTGTCTCAACGAGGCACATCGCTTTGTCAAGAAAAATTATCAATCAGCACCCCCCCCCAAAAAAAATCTAAAAATTCTTCCCATTTTTTCCAAATACGATATTTTGTTTAAATTTTAAATGTTACAGAAATATATAGGGGGTTTCCATTGATCTTTCAAGTGTACCAGGCAGAGCTTTTAACTTTGACGATTAATTAGGACAGTATTGAGTGAGCTGGCATCTTGAAGTCAAATTATCCTGAACAAGGAAAAGTGGTCAACGTGAAAGTGTTTTCCGGTAGTTTTAAAGTGTTCAGTAATTTACCAACTCTTCATTCATTAGTTTACAGTGGCAGGCACAGTGGGTTGCCTCTTGAAATTATTGGTTGGTAATTAAAATGTTTGAGTTTTTTCTTGTTTCTCTTCGCCGAAATATGTCATTTAATTTCATTTTAACCATTCCATGCCATTTTTGAATATTTTCACCGTGTTATACAATTTAGATATTTTCTGATTTTTCGAATTATGTCTTTGTACGCAAATTTGAAATGAGAAATTCGAAATTGCTACCAACTTACAATCAAGCATTTATTTTTCTTTCAAATACGTGCATTAATCAATCTTTTTTTTTTTTTTTTAAAGATTTGCGATTTTTACAAAAGAAAGAAAAAGAACCAAATTAAAAAATCAGTTTAGAATCGCTGTCATTTTTTTTATTTGCTTTACATGTATAAATTTCTTACCATGAGAAATCCCAATAACCAACAGGAAGAAAGCCACGGGAATCATTTTTCCAGGGATAATTTTTGTCGTCCTCATCCAAAAACAAAACACAGAGCCACCAAATTACACTTTCTTATAAATCCATTTTTAAGCAGTAAGAAAAGAATCGCTTCACAACAAATACAGTTGACATCGGATTGCAAAGTTTTAACTCCGGAAACCAGCAATCGGCCAAGCGATCAGGGTTCCTGCCGTTTGCTAATTGTTCTGCGCGTGTTATTCCTTCGTGCGTCCATCATTAAAGTGGTATTTAGAAAAACAAAATATGAGATGTATATATATAAACAATTTACACTCCGATTTAGGCGTGACTGTATCTACAGAGCCGGCGAGGAATACCGCACGCCGCGCTGACCAGCTTATCGCTTTTTCCCTGAGTTCGGAATGCGGAGATAATGGGGCTCTGGCTTGGCACCCCAGGAGGGGGGAGCGGTCATGACGTCACACTGAGCTCCTCCGTGGGGGTCCTCAAATTTTTCTGGTAAATCACGGGATCAATTCCGCTCTATGTTTTATAGAAACTGTCCATACGATATTTTTTTTTATCAGTTTAACAATTCTCAGCGCCCACTTGCCCTGGATCTCTCTTCGTCACGGGTGCCACTTCAAAGAAAAAATCTAGCTTTCATCAGTTGAGTAGTTTTACCTACATGACGGAGGCCTTTCTATCGTTTTTCCGTTTTGTTTTTTGTGAAGTCTGATAATGGCTGGAACTGAACTCTCTTGTCTTGTTAATCAGTCTTACTTATCATTCATCTTTTCACCCCCTCTTATGATTAATTTTTTTAACCTCTTTCGAGTTAAGTGGAAAGAAACATGTCTGATCAATTTCATTCTTTCAAAAATAACACGGACAAGCTGAATGTCTTGCTCACATGTTTTACCATAAACCTTAAGTAGAGGGTCTGCTTTAGATCGATAGTTTTACATGGTGCAATTTTTTTGTGATTGGTAATTTTCTTACCCCTCTTTCACAAAAGCCCCTTCTTTCCTAAAGGTTTGATTCTGGCTTTATCTTCCGATGGAGATTCAGTTTTACAGTATTAAAGAATAGCTTTGTGGCATTCATTCAAAATCTTTGCAACGCTTCAAATTTTACGTCAGACGTTGGTTTAATCCTAATCATGCCTAACATTAACACTTATTTAGATGTTTTGTTTTTGTTTTTTAAATTAGAAAATTACAGGAATAAAACTGAAGCTTTATAAATTGATTTTTGCAATCGTGCAAAATGTTTTGGTGCTTCGCACTTTCATTTCATTTACGTTATGTTCAGCTGTTTTTGATTGCTTGCATAATGTATTCGGTTTATAATCTTTATATCAATTCTTTAGACTGATTTTGGTTAAAATCTGACATGCATCGGAAATTCGTGAATGGACCTGGTACAATATGTGTCAATGTAATTCTCCTGCTATAGACAATTGAGGCAGGTGTAAGTCGACGCCGTGACAGACCCAATGGTGTCCGATTTCTTATTTTCTCATTTTTTTGGTAAAGGTTAAGAAGTTTAAATATATTTGAAATAAACCGTTGGGAGTATTTTAATTGAAATTTTCCCGTTAAATTAGCTAGCTTATTGTGTCAGTGCAGACATATTACAAGCTCACCATATTTACCAGTCGGAATTACATGTAAAGACAGTATATAGTCACAAATGATACAAACAAAGGGTGGATGCCTGGACTAGTATATTTTTTTTCACTTACTATATTATAAGGTTGTAATTATTTATAAACGATGCGAACAATAAATTCCTTAAACTTTAAGCAATTGCAAACTTTTGATGTTCAAAATTCTACCTTTCCCTAAACCATCCTTATTAAGCTTTACAAGTTTTTCCCTCTTTGAATTGCATCATTGTGAAAATTTGATTAAGATATTAAAATTTATGCGGTTAAACTTATTCATTTTACCCCTTTGAACATGATTGAAGTCTTTTGACAAAAGTTTATTTGTATCATCTGTCCTTAAGGGTTCTCTTAACGATGAAGGTAGGGTCTGAACTAAACAAGATAATAAGTCATCTGAAGACAAGAAGTAAATATAACCTAACAATGCATCGTGTATATATTTGTAACTTTACTGTGTTTGTATTGAAATATCGCATTTGAAGTCGAGTCTTTTAAAGTTTGAAACACAGGTTTCTCAATCGCCCAGGTGCTCCCTAAAAACAAGCTATAAGGTCGTGCTTGATAAGAAGGATTTTGTCGCATAATTTTTAGAAAAAAAATCTCTTATTTTGTTTGATTACTGATCATGAGGAATGAAGCTATACCTCACGAATATTAAGACCATACAATGCAAGGTTTTGTTTAGTGCACGATTCTGAAACAGTCACGCGATTGCATTGTGTCACCCTGTTCCAAAGAAACCGAAGGACACGAACTCGGCGCATTTCCAGTATTCACGCACAATTTCCAGCCAAAAGCAATTTAAGCCAGGATTTAAAAAGAGTAAAGGGGGAATAACGTGATGTAAACTTAATGTAGCGCATCCGACGGCTCCATGGGCTCTCAGCTCAATTTACAATGAACAAGAAAAGAATTATCAAGGGAGCTAACCTAGAACGAAAACAACCTGGGCATTGCACACATGGAAAGAAAAGGCATCGAACTCTTTCTTTTAAAACGAAATACTTTTGATTAGTTTTTGACAATTTTAATAAGTATTCTGTAATTTTAAGGAATGGTTACAGCCAGATGAAAAATAATATTTGATTAAATACAATCATTTGCTTAAATGCTGATTTTTAGTTTTTTATTAATCTCTTTCTCTCCTTTATCCATCCCCCCCCCCTTTCCCCTGCATTTTTACTTTGGGCTGATGATTTTGATTTCCTTATTTCATTTATACAAAATTCAATGATTAAATTATCCAAAATAAAAATAATTTATAACTTCAATGCATACAAATATTTGCATAGCTAGCAATTTAGACAAAATCGATTTTAAGAAATGATAGATATCAATCCCACGAAGAGTTATCTTTCTTAGCGTTTCAATGAATCTTCTTTTTTAACATATTGATGCCAAAAAAAAAATCAACCCAAAAAACAAGCTACTGTTACACACATCTGTGACGGCCCTCTTCCTGTCTATTAGCTGCATTTGTTGCCCTCTGGCACTGGTGATAAAATGTGCGGAGACGAGACCCTTTTTTCCATGCAGAATGAGTAAAAAAAGTACCTTAATTAATCATTTATATCGTATTTGAATGACATTTTGCACACTGTATGGAGAGGTTTTAAAAGATGATGCATCATGAGGCAAAAATTATTTTTATTTTGGAAAATTTAGTTACTAAGTATACATATTCAAACTGTGCCTGGGTCATGATATTTCTCTTGCTCATCTAGAATATAATGAGACCATGGTAGGAATGGAGATTTGTCACAACTAAAATGAAGGTTGCTTAATTAAGACCTTACTTTGGGACTTCAGGTATAGAAAAATGTGACCGATGTCGGGTCAAATCAAATTCTTTGAGGCCTAGAACATCAACTTAATTCAAGAGATGACCAAAAATAGGTCACCATGATCTTATTTTGAAATTGTATGGTTTAAAATACTAGTAGTAAAAGAAAATTCATAATTTGTATGCTTTTAGGCCTAGAACTATCATACTTCGTTTGCCTGGCGCATTTTCAGGGAGGGGAACATATCACGTACTGCTTTTTGAGAAAAAATGAATGTTAATATTTTCATTTATTTGGTATTTACAGTTAAACAGTTTATGTGAGTTCCACAGCATTGCGAAATTTTAATCAATTAATAAACAAACAGAGAATTTATCTCACTTTTCCTAGGGATTGGTACTGTTACGTTTTTGTTTGAAAGTATGATAAATGAGTTAATTTTTTTTCAAGGGAAAGACGAGGCCCGTCAGGGTCCATCTTTATACGTGTAGTGGCATGAATTTCTAGTTATCTGTTGGGAACAAATAATCAGTTTCTTAAGGGCAAATTAACCATTCTAAAGAGAGTGGTTTGCCAACGCTTTGAATTACGTCTGCCAAAAGTGTGTCTTGATTTCACTTGGTGCAAATAATCAAGGCGTTATTAGTTTTATAAAAGTGCAGAAGACTTATGACAGAGAAAGAGATTAATGAAACAATCTATTTAATTAAAGGAGTTGGCTTAACAAAATGGACGAAATGCTTTAAGAGTGACAAAACTAAAGTGATTGATTGGTTGATCGTATGTTGTTTGACGTTCCCGTCGAGATTTTTCATTCATACAGAAACGTCACCATACACCGGTGAAAAGGCTTCATATTTGACCTTTGCTTGGTTCTGGCCATTGAGCAATGTTACAACGCAAAATGTAATAACAACGCAAAATGTAATAAATAGAGGATATCTATATTGTGTGATTTGATATTGGCTTTATCCAACGAGTTGAAATGGTGTATATATTCGCGAGGCTTGTCTTATTAAACTAACCAACAACACATTTTAAATGACCAAAGATTGACCATATACATGTATCCATTATAAAAGATGTACATGTGTCGGGATGTGTACATTGGTTAACAAATTAGATGTGCATGTGTGTCAAGTGAGAAGGGACAGGGATATAGAGAGGGGTGTTTACTTCGAAGTTTAAGCTCTACTGGTCAGAGACAAGAAGAGATTATGCGAAAGTAAGGTGTACGTCGTCCGTCCCTCTGTCTAGCTGTCTGTCTGTCCGTCTGTCTGTAAACAATTTTTCAAATGCTACTCCTCCTACAGTTTTGGTCTGATTTCAATATAACTTAGAACACATGAAGACTACACTAAGTTACATAATTTAATGCATCGGATTTTGATTTCGATGAACGGTGTTGCCATGGTTACTGAAAATAGAATTTTCTGTGAAATTCCTTTAAAACGCTACTCCTCCTACAGTTTTGGTCTGATTTCAATATAACTTGAAACACAAGTAAACTTAATAAAGATACACAATTTATTGCCTCGGTTTTTAATTTTGATGAACGGTGTTGCCATGGTTACTAAAAATAGAAATTTCTGTAAAATTCTGTAAAACGCTACTCCTCCTACAGTTTTGGTGTGATTTCAATATAACTTGGCACACAAGTAGATTACACTAAGATACATAATTTAGTGCATCGGTTTAAGATTACAATGAACGGTGTTGCTATGGTTACTAAAAATAGAAATTTCTGTGAAATTTCTTTAAAACGATACGCCTCCTACAGTTTTGGTCTGATTTCAATATAACATGGCAAACACGTAGATATTACTAAGATACATAATTTAGTGCATCGGTTTTTGATTTTAATGAACGGTGTTGCCATGGTTACTAAAAATAGAAATTTCTGTGAAATTTCTTTAAAACGATACTCCTCCTACAGTTTTAGTCTGATTTCAATGTAACTTGAAACACAAGTAGACTACACTCAGATACATAATTTAGTGCATCGGTTTTTGAATTCAATGAACGGTGTTGCTATGGTTACTAAAAATAGAATTTTCTTTGAAATTCCATTTAAAACGCTACTCCTCCTACAGTTTTGGTCTGATTTCAATATAACTTAGCACACAAGTAAACATTACTAAGATACATAAATTATTGCATCGGTTTTTGATTTCGATGAACGGTGTTGGCATGGTTACTAAAAAAAGAATTTTCTGTGAAATTCCTTTAAAATGCTACTCCTCCTACATTTTTGATCTGATTTCAATATAACTTAG